AATCCGGCCCTAGGCGCGGACGATGCAAAAGCACAGGGTCGCAGACTAATGAAGAACTGACGATACAGCAACAAGGCAACAACAAGGGCCCATCAACTTCAGACGCCCGGCCTATGTACATCAATGGAAAGGACAAGCGCCGCCATGAGGCGCGAAGCGAATCGTGCTTACCATAGCTCAGATGGCGTCGGGGGTCGAGAACATGCTCTGATTAGTTCTGTGGACGTCCAGGCTCAAGGTTAGCACAATGCAGGATAGGGCCTGTGTTTGAGATTCAAAATGTACAGTGTGGCGAGAAGAACACTGCAGAAAAATGCAGATCTGCAATCACGGGGCGTCTGGGCTTTGCGAGCACTACTCATGGAATTTGTGGATTTGAACATGTGTGCATGGCGAGACAAACCTGTGCAGCGGCGATAATACCTTGTCAACAGAAGCCACGACTCGGGAGATTCCGAGTTCCGAAGAGCAACATCGAGGGACTTTCAAAGAGAAGTGTGCGGGTCCATCAGAGCCTGCTTCTCATTGCTTTCAGTTTGATGGAAGCTCACATGAGCCACGCCACTGTACGACGCAGTCAACTTATGGACCTTCTCCATGAGGTATGCAGCATGCACCCCTCAGTAAGAAGGAGAAGCATGGGGTCCATCTGAGCCCACAATACCTCCCTTGACCCAGACCCCTCAACCACATTCCCTCAGCCCTAGCCATGGGAATCCCAGGCTTTTGACTTTTGCCGAAAGGTCCTGGAGGGGGAGACTCGCTGAGCGAGTAGTCCGACGAGGAGCGGCCTGTGTGAAAACTGACCCTTCCAGCAAAAGCAAGATCCCACATCCCTACACGTGTAGACACACATGCGCATGCAAGCCATTCTAGGCGACACAAAGGCCGGCTGTAAGCAGCTATGCCAGTTCCGGGACAAGCAAAACTGGTGGCTAAGACCACATCTCGCCCCTCCCCCGTACTTGTTCTGCTTCTTCTTCTTCTTATTCTTCTTCTTCTTCTTCTTCTTCTTCTTCTTCTTCTTCTTCTTCTTCTTCTTCTTCTTCTTCTTCTTCTTCTTCTTCTTCTTCTTCTTCTTCTTCTTCTTCTTCTTCTTCTTCTTCTTCTTCTTCTTCTTCTTCTTCTTCTTCTTCTTCTTCTTCTTCTTCTTCTTCTTCTTCTTCTTCTTCTTCTTCTTCTTCTTCTTCTTCTTCTTCTTCTTCTTCTTCCTTACCCTCTTTCTCTCCCCCCTTTCTCCCTCCCGCATGCCTCTTCGTCTTCTCCATCTGATCTTTGTGGATTTGCAAAACGCAATATACATACACTGCACATTTTTGTTATGTCTGTGATACCTCGCGATCTCACGCCTCTTTTCTTCTCCCCCCAATACATCTCCTTCCCCCATTCCTCTTCTTCTTTCCATCGAAGTGTACACACACACAATGCGTACTACACATCTTACAGACGCTATGTACCCTTACCTAGATACTCTGTATGCACATGAAGCCTCATACCCTATGTACCCTGTTTTCACAACATACCACATTTTCCCCAGAGACCCTAGGCGACATAAAGGCCGACGTTAGCGGTTGACAAAAAGTGGTGACTTTGTTGGTGAGGAAGATTTGAGCAACATGTTCGGACAATTCTGCCCATATTCCCATGCTAAGAACCCGACAGGAAACTTGGCAGTATAAACATGCGCTCATACAATTCACGATCCGGATGTCAAGAGCTATTCAAAACATGTGATTGGGAGAAGCCAAGCCCTAACCCCACGGGCATAATTCTCAGAAAGATCAGTACTTGGATCCTAAATGACAAACCTTAGATCCCACAAAACAACCTTAACACATTACGCGCCGCCTCGTCGCCGCCTCCGCGAGCGAGACCGCCGCCGACCTTGAGGAGGGAGGTCAGAGGGGAGGTGGAGGTCAGGGGGAGGCAGATAGACTTAGAGATGTTCAGGGTGTGGGGGAGGGTTTGGGGTGGACTTTAATTTGACACCTGATGGAGGAACTTGGGGTGCTCCTCAAAGGGGTCCCTTGTAGTTGGGCAGCTATCCTTTCGCAGCTGCGATCTCAGATGATAATTTACTGCCTCTTCTGCAGTTGATCACTGGGTCTCGCACCGTGGTGGCTGCTGTGGCGGTGCCCCCGACCTGCCACTGTCGTAGCAAGCTAGAGGCCTACCTCAAAGCTTGAATCACAAACTGTCATGAACCCCACTCACCGTTTGTGCGAATGTGTTTGGAGAGTCGCTGCACTCCATGGCCACGGAAGCTTGCATCCTCTCAGGAGGCGGCTAGAGTTTGGAGCGCTCTCCGGAGCGCGCCATCCTTAGGCTTCCCAACCCGCTCTGTCGAGCTGGTGGGCTGAGTGGGGGATTCTTAAAGCTTGGCGATATACTGCACAGGGTTCCCGGCATCCTACGAGTAACTAGCTTGAAGTACTGACTTTTTGACTCATTGTTATATGCAGCTTATGTCGCCAGATGGGCACGTTGCTTCGTAGGGCCTTGTACAGTCCCGGATCTTCCACATCATTCTTGCTCGTCTTCTCTGTGCTGTCGTCCTATGCTTGTACACGTGACGCCTGTGGGGTCTCTCTCACAAGGCTGTTTCATCCTATCGGACGCACTGACATTGTGTGAATGTTGCCGGACCTTGCTTCGCGAAGACAGGGGCTCCTAGATGTTGCACTCCAGAATGGAGGCTTTGCCTGTGTGGGCCTCCTTTAACCACCACCCACAGGAACCCGGACATGCGATGCGGGTCGGCCTCGTCTGCAGGGTACAGATGCCGCTTGAAGTGCATCCGCTTGCTTACATGCGCGTGCTGTGGACGGACGGAATGTCTCGCTGCAGCTACAAGCCGTTACTACTTGCACATTTGGGATCTGCAGGGTTCAGGGTCTCGAGGTGGGATTCAGGGCTGATTGGTTCGCCTACCCCCCAAGACAAACGCCTCAGAGGCTGTAAAGTTCGGGCAAATTCTCAAGACCTCACCTGCTAAAGTCCTACACTCCTACACCCCGTCCAAGCCCCAAAAAAAAATGTGCACCACTTTAAGACTTTCTTGACGAGCAGCTATCCGTTGGCAGGTGGCCAGGTCGCGCGCTGGACTGGGCCCTGGGGTTGAACTGAGGTGTTGGGCAAAGAAGGGGCTGCTCAGGTTCAGGAGATTTGAGGCCCGGCAGCTCTTCTCAGAGCACCTGGTGGGGTGCAACACTTCAGCCAGATCTGTGGATCCTTTGCACACCCTGAGTCCGAGTCCTAGATTCCCCTTTCAACCCGGCAACCAAGCTCTATCTCGACTGTGTTCCAAAGCGCCTGTCCTGCTAATTCCCCACCCATGTGCGTCCTCGCGTCAGCTAAGCTTCGTAAGGCCCTGAACCCCTTCCCTTTTTGAATCTGCCGCCCAGGCACGCCGTAGCAGCGGAGCCTGTGCCCGCTTCTAGTAGTGATGTAGGGTTTAGGGGTGGGGCTTCAGGGTTTGAGGGTTTTGAAAGTTTTAGGGCTTCGGGTTCTTGTAGGATTGAGGGTTGGTGCGCTTGGGGTTCAAAGAGATTTTGGGGTCACCGTGTGGTTTCAAGGGCTTTGCTTTGGGTGGGCTGTCCGGCTGACTTGACATGGCATTTCATGAGTCTGTGGCCTGGCCCCAGGATTCAGGGCTCCTCAGCTAACTCCCACAAAACGCTACAATGACCTTACGAGGACCTTAAATCCCCCAGGCCAAAAACAACCTCCTTAGATGTGCAGAAACTGCAAAACGAAAGCGAAAACAAGGCACTGCTCCGGCCTCTTCCGGCCTCAGATTTGTTGACTTTGCAAAAATTGGGCTACTAGAGGAACTGCTTTCAGAAGAGCCCGGGTTTTTTACGCACGACCCCCTGCACTATCAGACACCACCCGAAAGTGCCGGGGCAGCAATGTCTGTCAGAGGCTTTGCCAAGCTAGGAGTCAAGCAGAAGCTCCCACAGCATGGTGGAGAACCCGCATTTTTATGTACCGTTTTCGGCAGTCTCTTGTGGTGCTAGTACGCTGGTCAAATCTGGCTTCTCACACTTTGGCCCACCATCTGCCAACGTAGTGCACAAAGGCTCACATACATGGGCCATGATAGTCATGACAGCTATGAAAGGCTATGAGTAATATCACTCCAGCTGGGACCACGACATCATAGTCGCCCCAGCAATTGGAACAGTACCTTTCGAGGACTGGTCCAAATGCGTCACGTTTATTCCCATGCATGAAGAAGGCATAATCTTCAAATGTCGAGCAGCGCCTTGAGATCTACCCGTGGACAATGCTTGGGGACCAAACTTGTGTTACGTGGTCGCCCTGCTTAAACTGAACTCACTTGGGGCAGTACGTTGATAAGAGTTTTGACTCATAATGACTCATACTTACAGCCACTTTCGAAGTAAAGTGTATGCAAAGGGCAACCTTGTGTACTGGCGTATACAAAAGCTGTATGCATAGAAGCGCGTGGAAAACTGAAACCGCCAGCCCGTCTGGGGTTCAGGATGGAGAGCTTCAGCAGGCTGATGGTTTCAACTCCGGACTTCGAAACCGCCGCACCATCGCCGGTCGCTGGTGTCCACCTTGCCTGCTGGGGCAAACCTCAGGAGCCATAGGAGTCATTTCACATATCAAGGTCCCAATGACTGGGGCTCATCTTCCAACAAAACAACCAGCCCTTGGCCCTTTTCTGACACAATATACTCGATCCATGCACAAGCACAGGCAGACAGTAGAGAAAGAGATGCAGTGAGGCAGCCCCCCCTGAAGGCCTGAAGAAACGTGAGATGATGCTTGCAGTTCTGGAGCTGCTTGAAGTTGTTTACGGAGTTGAGGCTCTAGGCTCTGGGAGTGTTTTCCTCCAAAGAATGAGGCAACAACATCAACACAACTGAACACTCTCGGAACCTGGCTCTCTGCAGAGGAAGCATGTACGCGAGTGGCCGGAGAAACCGATCCAGCAGTCCTCTCAATGAGTATTTCGGGGTCTCAGTGGTTTAGGGATAAGAGACCCTCGTGCCCCACTTGCGGTCCACACTCTGGCACCTCAAACCGCAAAGCAACAGATCTGTACAAAAATCTGCTTTGCAGCAGTCGGCAGTCGAAGGCAAGATGATGTCTGAGCTAGTGGCGTTTCCATTTCCAGCAGCAGTTGAAAGCCGCGAGTGTCGTCGTGGAAGGGGGATTTGGGGTATGCTCTGGGTTCGACATGGAGCTCCCAGGCCTCTGCTCAGGCAGATGCTGCAGGTGTCGGCCATCTGCTCTTTTGCTCTTTGGCTCTTTGGCTTTACTTCTCTCAGCTTGGGCATGGCCATACGGGCCAGTGGCCTTATGGCCTTATGGGGATGTGAAACATGTGAAGGCAAACGGGCTCCTCGCAGTACCACAGCAAGTTGTCGGGGTCCAGATGGCCGTGCTGCTTTCGCCTGGGGCAGCTATTTGGCATTGGGCACGCGAGCTCTTGAACCGAACACTCAGAGCTTGGCACTGCAGATGCATGCTTCGAAACACGCTGCCTGCGATCTCGGGGGACAACTGAGATGGTGACGATCGACAAAGCTGGCATACCAAGGGCTCGTCCATCAGCACCAGTCAACCATAAGACAAGACATGCCAGACAGCTTTCAACGCTAGCAGGGCTCTCGCACCTGCTGCTGCGACTGTTGATATTGGAAACGCATGTCCTGCAAAGCCTTGCTGGTGCTGCTGTTGTCAAACATACAAGAATTTGACGTGACAACAAACGCTGAGCATTTACTGCTCAACACGTGGGGCACCAACACTCTCAAGTGCAACATATTCGTAAGCCTTGGAAGAAGATGGTAGGAGTTCGATGGTACACGAAAACCCGAAGCTCTGTTCAATGCCATGAGTCATATCTCGGATCAAGCCGAAACAGCTTCGGACACAGAAAGTGGCATGACTTGTCTACCCACGATACTCTATTGGATTCTCTACGAAAGTCCCTGGCGGTGGACGCTCCATCAAGCAGCCGGCTCCCATGCTCCGAGTGGCTCCAAACCGAATCGATCTTAGGAGGAGCCGAACACATCCCAGCACAAAGCAACCCCTTTGTGCGACGGAATTCCTTCTGCTAAGCTCGCGATGTGGTCCTTGAGGTCTGGGCCCCTTTTTGTGAGACATCGTTGGCCCAGTACACGAGGTACTTTTTCGATGTCATGAGGTCTTTTTTCGATCTTATCTTTCGATGTCATGGAGCTTCTTCGATGTCCGCGCGCTTTTTTTCGATGTCCACGCGCGCAAGCTCGTCTCTAAGCCACTGGTCCTCATGCTCCGCCGACGAGCTCCATGAACTTCTGGTTGAACTTGTCCTGCTTTTCCTGGAAGTCCTGGAAATTCACGCTCATGTTCCATGCGTATTGCTGACATTCCATTGATGGTGTTCACTCCTCTGACAGCAGGCCCCCTTCCTTTGCCTCAAACGAGCGGAAGGTTTAGAATGTCAGGTTTAGGGTGTAGGGCAAATGCAAAGTAGACCGCTTAATTGAAAGGTGGACCTGACAGAGCCCTGAGCAAGGACTTGCTACAGCCCAAACATTACCAAACCCCTCCTAAACCCTAGTCTCGAAAGTTACCCTAGCCGCGATCCTTGACGGCACGCAGGATGCCCTTGCGCAGGCTTTGCAGGTGGTCAGCTGCGGACTTTCGCCGCAGGATCCTTCATTGTGTCTATAGGAATTCCTGCGCAAGCTATGAATCTTAGATTCGCTTGAAGCCTAATTTTAATTACACCAGCCTCGACCCCAAACAGCACAAAGGACGTTTCAGGTTGCATAATGTAAAGAACAGCCAGTCACAGCATCCGGATCCCCGTCGACACCAGAAACGAGACATGAGGGGAAACAATAGCACGTTATGAAGGGAGATCCTGCCCCTCCCCCAGCGCGTCACTGCATCCGGCTCCCCATCCAGCATCTGGCTCCCCGTCTCGGACACCAGAAAACGAGACATGAGGGGAGACAATAGCACGTAATGAAGGAAGACATATCCTGCCCCTCCCCGGAAGCGCGTCACAGCATCCGGCTCCCCGTCTCGGACACCAGAAAACGAAATATGACGAAGACAATGGCATGTTATGAAGGGAGACAAATCCTGCCCCTCCCCGGAAGCGCGTCACAGCATCCGGCTCCCCGTCCCGGACACCAGAAAACGAGATATGACGGAGACAATGGCATGTTATGAAGGGAGACAAATCCTGCCCCTCCCCGGAAGTGCGTCACAGCATCCGGCTCCCACAGCGAGACCAGGTGGCAAAAGGAACTTATGAAGGGAGACAAGCCGGCACGGATCCCGGACAGTGCGTCACACTGTCCCTTTCCTTACTCCATCTAGAACCGGCGAACCTTTTGAAGCCTCCCCTGAATGCTGGCCTGGCAATGTTGAAAGGCGGGGGAAGCAAGCCAAAGCTTGGGACCCCCCACGGCTCCTCTCCTGCAACCTGCCTGGGCTGCCTGGGACCCCTCTATTTGGCTGGGACGCCCCTTTGCAGATCATGGCCTGAGGCATGTGTTGCCAGTCACTTGCAACATGGATGACTCGATGTCGCGGCCCTCACTTAAGAAAATTGAAACCCCCATTGCCCGTTTGCGGCGCCCGCCCAAGGGAAGAACGAGGTCTGCCCGGCAGCAAGAGACCGGACTCCACAGGTGGGAGGGCAGGAAGGGGAGGGGAGGGGCCGGAGCCGGGAGCAAAACAATTCACAAAAAAACCTCTAAGGGGGTGGCCGCGGCCACAGACGCGGCGGCAGCGGAAGCCGGGGCCCCACGCCAGAAATTCAACCAAAAACTTTAAAAACCTCAAAGATTAATTGAAAACACCAAAAACGCTGCGGCGCACCATTTTTTTTGAAAATTGGCCCCCTCTGCCCACAGCACAAAGATGTGTTTTCACTCCAAATCGCGGAGAATCGCGGGGAATCGTGGGGGGCCCGCGCGGAAAAAACACACCAGAAAACCCTTCGCGGGCACTTCGCGGGCAACTCGCGCGGAAAAAAAGTACCCGAAATCCGTTCGCGGGCATTTCGCGGGGAATCGCGGGAGAATCGCGGAGAATCGCGGGGAATCGCGGGGCTGCGTTTTTTCCGAAAATTGGTCTCGGCCCTGAAAGCAGAGAAAATGTAAAATTTAACGAAAATCACCGAAAAAATGGTGTCAACGCACTTAGCGTTTCATTACGGGGAAAACATTGGGAAAACAAGCAATCTTTATCTTTTCAACGCCTGCGCTCGGGCTGCGCCCGCAACGCCCCCGCACCCTTCCTGGCGCACACCTTCGAGGGCCAGAGACAAAGCTGGTAGATCATTATCCGGGCTGTAGCCACAAAATCCTGATTTTGATTCTCATACTGTTGATGGACGAATCCTGCTTATGCAGCTCATCCCTTCCGAACCCTGAATCGAAACATTGCCGTCCTTGCAATGCTTCGAAAGTGCATGTGTGTGAATGACCGAAATCCTGCATCACCCATATGCGCACGCAACATTGAAATTCGACGGGTGCGGGGAGCTCGATTACCAACCGTCGCACACGTGTAACGCAGGGGGTCATGCAAGATTTTGTCCATCCACAGTCTCGGACAAGATAATTGACTGACTTGTTGGCAAGAGTTGTTGCTGGAATGGCTTTTGGGAAGATTGTCGGAGAATGGCCTTTGGGAAGAATGTCCGAGATGTGTTTTTTGCAGCTTCAAGCCAAAGCTCTCCTCTTTCTCGGGTGTGGCTGAGCACCAAAGAGCAGAAATGTCGCGTTTCAAATTCGTTCCTGTAGTTTCAAATTAGTTTCAAAATAGTTTCAAAATCCAGTTGCAAAATCGCTGTTAAGGGGAAACTGCATTTTCCTACGTGCGACTTAAAAAATGAAGGAATCTCAGAGATTCCTGGTTTTCAAAAAGCGCGGACAGAAATTTGCAGTTCCCCCTTAACAGCGATTTTGCAACTGGATTTTGAAACTAATTTGAAACTGACTGGAAACTAATTTGAAACTATGGAAACAATTTGAAACTTGAAAAACACCACATTCCGGACTTTCTGCCCCATTCTGGCCCCTCACATCGGCCCTCAGTAACTTTGGTCAGCCGTGACTAGACCAGAGTTTCCAGTCTTCAGACTGTTGATGGACGAAATCCTGCATCATTTTATCATGCAGCTCATCCCTTCCGAACCCTGAATCTTAACATTGCCGTCCTTGCAAAATGCTTCGAAAGTGCATGTGTGTGAATAACCAAAATCCTGCATGCGATTTTGCAACTGGATTTTGAAACTAATTTGAAACTGACTGAAAACCAATTTGAAACTATGGAAACAATTTGAAACTTGAAAAATACCACATTCCGGACTTTCTGCCCCATCCTGGCCCCTCACATACGGCCCTCAGTTGACTTTGGTCAGCCGTGACTAGAGACCAGAGTTTCCAAAAACTGTGTGTGAATGACCAAAATCCTGCATCACCCATATGCGCACGCAACATTGAAATTCGACGGGTGCGGGAAGCTTGATGACCAACCGTCGCACACGTGTAACGCAGGGGGGGTCCATCCACAGTGCCACCGCGCAACCTTCTGCACTATACAAGCTTGGGAAAGGGGGACAAACAAACAAAGCTTGCACGGTTGCTTTTTTGGATCCTTTTGCAGTCGAGTCAAATCACATTGATCAACAGCCTTTTGCCCGGCAGCCAGCCCAGGCGGCCAAGGCCCCGCAGCCAAGCACAAAACAACAATGCCCGCAAACCTTCTATTTTTGTTGCCTTTGCATTGAGTTGAGCCTACCTGCCTACTCACCATGGGGACAACACAACAAATTGAATCAGAACATGGCCAAACCGTGATTGGCAGTACAAAGACGGCTGCCCCTGACCCCAGCTATGCGGCATGGTGAATCATCTTACAGACTATGAAACTTGTCTCGGCAAGTCTGGGTCAGCAGGGATACCAAGCTTGCCGCTTGCTTTGACAAGGTTAGGCTTGCCGCAAGCTTGCCTCTTACCAAGAGTGACTTGCCTCCGAAACCAAAAATCTACCAACGCCCACCAAAATCACTAGGTGGAGGGCACCTCTTACGCCGTTGAAACTCGTGGCACAGCTACGGGGCCTAAGGGACCTCAGGTCAAGACTACACTCAACCCTCACAGCACGAAGTGCGGACTCTTTTCACTGCGCTGTTCACAGCTTCTCGAGCTCCGCTCGTCTTGAGCCAATGCGAGCACGGCTCTCCAGCTTCAAACACTGTCTGCCAGACATGGGAAAACAAAGGTACTTCAGGTGAAAACACTCAGCCATGGAACTTCTACTCCTAAAC